TACTTCTTAAGGTAGAAGATTAGAGGTGAGGAGGAGAGGAGTACTGAAACACTGACTGGGAGAAGTCCCTGGAAAACCCACTCTGGGGTGGAAACTGTAATTTGACCTCATCCCCTATTGTCATGCACACACTACCTCTGCATGACGCGAATGGAAACCTACTAGAAAAATACAACATTTTTATACCATTGTGCAAAAGTAAAAAGTTAAATAACAGAACACTTAAGTGGAAAATGAGCCAGGGTATGCATGCTCAAAAAGTTGGGAACTAAAGAGGTTTTAACTGGTGTGGAGGGCTTTCTGCTGGGTAAAAAGGAACCGTTGCCTGGCTAACAATAAGCAGAGTCAAAGGAACCAGATTTGAAGGGATTAATTCAGGTGTCTAAACAAAGGCAGGTAGTGTTTTCAAAATGTGCTATGACATCAAGCCATCTGCGGTGGTCTGGAAGGAATGATCTGGAAAATACAAAGAATCCACCCAGCCAGTTGGAGCAGCAGCTGAAGGCTGGAATAACATCAGCAATACCTGGAGTGCCTCTAGATACAAGGCATTTAGGTATCAGAGTCCCTGGTATTTCTCCCTACATTCAGGACTTCACTTCTTCTCCAAACCTAAACATCAGAGATGATATCTTGAGGCTGGTTGCTGACATTCACAGACTGAGAACTAGCCGAGGGTAAAAGATAAGCTGGGATTTCGATTTGTTGGAGAAGACTGACAAAACTCAACCATGGACGTGGGAGTAGGTCACAGTGTGTGTATATATATATATTTCTGGCTGCTGGTAGGGGCTTTCAAGAGTCAGGGAAGTTCTTCTAGATGAGCAGTAAGCAGTGGGAATGGGGAGGAAGGCAGCTCTGTGAGGTGAGCAGGGAAGGGAAGGAAGAGAGGATTGTTGTTCACAGCACATCACCAAGCATATGGCTTTGACTCATACTTTAGCAGGGCAGTGCCCATGCCCAGGCATTAGCATCCATTTTGCTTACAGCCTTGTAAGCCAGTGCGATGCATTTCCATAAATCATACATGAAGCTCCTCAGGGAAAAATTCTGAACTGATTACTATGCAAATCCAGCTGGGATGCAGCTCTCTTAATTCACACTCTGCCCACCCCCATCCTTCCCATCTCTGCCTAAAAATTACTTGGGTGTGCTACCAATACTTTTCCATATTGCATTCTGAAGTATGTATCTTCCTCCAAGAAGCACTATTGGACTTGTGCAGATGGGTATACTCACTTAACTCTCTTTAGTAGTTACAAGTCCACACCCTGAACTTGCCTATCACATACAAGCAAATAAACAAGCAATGTCAAATAAACAAGCTTGTTCAGATCATGATTATGATCTGCCAGTTCTTATTGGATCATTATTTTATGATTCAGTGGTTTTCTGTTGACTCATGCTCTTGAAATTATCACCTTTTTCACTCAATTGTTTGAATGGTATGTAATAATGATGCTTTTATTTACCTATTTAATTTTAACAGGCCAATTCCTCAGAACAATTTAAAAGATAAATTCATACTCAAAGGAATTCATCTGTCGGGTTCTGCCTCTGCATTCTTTATGTCTTCGGCAGTTTTCTCTTCAGCAAAACCACAAAGGTACTCCCTTAAAGCTTATCTCCAGAGTGAATTTCTCATTAGAAAACCTGTATTAGCCTTTTTTCACAAGGGTTACCATTAAAAAATATCACACTCATCCCCATTACTGCATTTGGCATCCCCTAGTCAACACCATGGCATGTTAAGCTTCACATTCTGGCAATTGCTGCTAAATGTTTGGGTTTTTTCAATCACGACCACTGTGGGAGCCTTTTTATAGTAGAGGAAATGTAAATACCACATAAAAAGATCAAAAGGTGAATCAGAAACTTATCTAAATCACAGTAGCCCCAGATAAAGTCTGCCCATTGCCCTAAATAGATTACCACGAGTAATTTAGGGAAGAGTTGATTGTGGAAGGAATCTTGCACCCCGCTAAAAACTTGGTATACACCAAACTCACCAAAGATTTTTTCAGTGTTTAAAAGCTTTGCATATATAGCCATGAGTGCAAGGAAACCATTCCATGGAACAAAAGAAAATGCAGGCATTTCAACAGCTTTGCTGTTACCTACTTCCTCTACCGTTTTGCTAATTGCACTACCTTTACATATATTATTTAACTCCAAGACACACAATGCCAATAGATTTAATCCTAAAGGCATTTGCAGCTTGAATTTCCTACAGAGGGATCGTAAATCTAGAATGGAAAGCCTGAAATCGTTAAAGTCACATATTTATAAAATCATATTCAATTAGGTTAAAAAAGTGCAATTTCTGTCATCATGTCATAAAAAGATGTGTTTTTCTCTCAGATCTACTATAAAGAAAAGCTCCCTATATTGTTACAGATAGAGGCTGTTTTCAATCAGTTACAAGGAGCAATCCAATTACTGGATGGTTTAGTGCAGTAACTGACTCCAGACTAATTTAATTTCTTTAGGTCTCTAAAGATCAATTGATCTGATTTGTTTCCCTCCCCAAAGGCTGTTTAGGAAAAAGCAGGCTTAAATACCTGGAAATGAAATACAAAGCTCTGTACGCTTTCACACTACTTAGGTCATTTGGAAAAGCTGGAACTCACGATAAATGAGTGCTCTCTTGGCCCTAACATCACAGGATGCTTTACGGGAGGCCATTAGATCGCCACACCACGCTGTAGATTACTCCTGCACGTGCTGTATGAAGGCCTGCTTAGGGAGGAGTGCATGGAAAGTATTTCCACAGCTTCTAGATAACTATTCCACTTTCCAGAGCTGCACAAGTGTGCATTTGGCCTTCATAGTCTTTTCCCTGGCAAACAAGTATTTTTCTCCAGCAGTTATCTTACAGAAATAACTATATTTCCAACTCGGCTGAGCAAGAGTCATGCTGTACTATTGAATATTCACCTACTTGCAATGCATGTTGCAATGGACATCAAGTAACAAATTTTTCCTCTTGTCCTATCTCACTTTGCTATTCCTTTTGCTTTGTTTCAGATTTCTTTAAGCAATTTTGCTGATGATAAGATGAAATCTATACAACTAGAGAGGCACTTAGAGAATTACATTCTCATCTGCCTGAATATTTTAATTTCAGAACAGAATAAAACCCTTGGTATTTCTGGACCATATTGTATAACTTAGGAAATTCTCAAACAGTCTCTTACCAGCCCTCTTGCATGTTACACTTTCATTATCTCATGACTTGATGTGTTGTGCAGCAGGTTTTGTATTTTTGCTAATCAGGGCTCAGATTTCCAATTAAAGTCAAAATAAGATCGTAACCAAACTTGGACTCTCAAACCCTGAGATTTACTATAATTTCAATACTTTTCACAAATTCTGTTTCTTGTATTTATTGTAGGCTTCACATTTGTCTGCCTTATCTTTCATGGTAACATTCATGCCTGGGCTCGGCTGCCTGTCTCAGGCTCTATTCTTACACTTATCAATAAACAAAAGGGCACTGCAGCTTATGCTCAGCATTTCTGACTCCATGCCATGTGCTGTTATAATAAGATGTCCTCTGGAAAAATTCCCTTCATATCCAGCACCACGATAGTCGGTTCATCCACACAGAGGTAACTAAGTTTTTCTCCCAGCTTATCTGCTCAGACTCTTTCCGCCCTTGCAGTGCTGTATCATTAGATGTCTCCTGCCTGTAAAACAAGGAAACCTCTTCCAACAGGTCCTTTCTTGACTATTTATTACATACAAACCTGAGCTTTGGATGTTGTTTTCCTCAGTGTTCTGTCAATACAGCAGGCTATGCTATTTTTATTAAATCTGCCTTTTTTTTTTTTTTTCAGTGAAGGCTTTCACTTAGGAAACAATTTTCAACAACTTTGCAAGTGTGCACTGGAGCTGCAAGCTTTCTTTCCCCAAATCACTGTTCTTTTACCCATTTACTCAATTGATCACTAGCAATCCAGTCACCAGTAAGGTATAAAGTATATCACGATTTCCCATCCATGGACCTGTTTAGATAGATGTACTTTTGAAATGCTGTAAAGACTTTGTCTAGCTCCATGAATATGACTCCAGTGAGCACTTTGTCTCCTATATGCACCTGTGAAAGATGATTCACAGATACATCTGGATATCCCAACATGGGAGCCTGGAGGGTTTTGGCCTCTCCAAACTTTCTTTCATGATTGTGCGCTCCTAGGAAAATTTGGATGTGCTATATCCATCTCCATTGAGTTCTCTTCCAGCCTAAAGGACACAGGCAGCTTAATTTGCTTCATTTGCCAAACTATTTGACACGATATCATAAAAATGTGATGTGCTGGAAAGCAACCAAGAGATTGAAGTTTATTTACTACTCAGCTGTGGGTTAATGCTTCTGTCCCTATGGCAGCAGTTGCTTGTAATGAGCTGTACAGACACAAAACTCAACAGTTTCCAGATAAAGCTTTCCCCCGGTGCAGCCGGCAGTACAGTTTTGGTAAAACAAAAATGGCATCTTTGTTTTCAGAGAGGGAGTTATGGGATTCATCCTGATGGGAATAATTGCCAATTCAGTGTCTGGGACTGCTGAAGTGCATTTTGGGAGCTCTCCTCTCTTCTTTTCACTGTATTGAGCACCGGGGAGTGTAAAGATGTTTTTCACAGGACCACTGCCCTTGTTTCCCACTGATCCAATTCACAGCCCTCAATAGGATTAAATGGCATGATAAGAAAAAAACTTTTCATTTTGAAGTTGTAAAACTGGCCCTCTCCCCCCTTCAAGAAGCCCCCTGAGGAAGACAAATATATTGGCCCCAACTGGAACAGATGTCAAAACTCAAAACAGCTCTCTCTTCATAAAGTTTTAAAGTATTTTTAAAGGAGGTAGAGGAGTCTTACTATATGCAACAAGATAACGTTAAAATGCATAGCTTCTGAGGAGTTGAAAGGATGCTTTTCCTACGAACTCTCTCTTCTCTTTATCTTATCTGCATGCAAAGTAAACAGAAAGTCCCCATTACCTCTCAATATCAGTGAGTCTGGAAGAGTCACGGAATCCTTTAGCAAAAGGGTTGCTGTCAATTTTCAACTTGGTTATCTGCAAACACAGAAAAGAGCAACGTTACATGAATATAGTGTTTGCAGCGTACAAAGTGTCAACCAATCCATCCTCCTGAATTCACTGCTAATTTTATCCGTGTTCCTTGTGTGTGTGCTGCTCTCAAGACACCGCAAAGCTGAGGAGGCAAACCAGTGCGTATTACACATATGGCAATGGAAAGACCAAAGGGCACACCAGGCTCAGCCTTCACATTGCCCAGAGCAGGAGGACCCCACCCCACATACAGCATTACAGCTTCCAAACACTTTGCCAGCATCAATCAGGTTGTCTTTTCCACAAGCAATGCAAACCACCCTGCTAACAGCTAAGCCTTATTGGTGGAGCTGCACATCAACTACTAAGACCCCAAACTAGGAGCTGCCACCTGCAGGCCTGAAGTCATGGCTTCAGTTCAGCATCCCTTGTTTCTTTTTTTTCTTTTTTTTTTTTTTTTTTTTTTTTTTTTGCTGGGATGAGAATTTTATCAGCCAGCCTGACCAGTCATCACATCACGGCAGTTTAACTGGTTTTGTATGAAAAGATGCTGAGGAAGGGAAGGAAAAATTTGGGGAGAACTCAAATTTAAAGTGACTGTACCTGGATTAAAGGAGTAACCCCACTGAAACTATCAGAGTCCTGAAAAATGAGAGATCTTGCCATCAAAATTCTCTTATTCAAAAGCAGCTACAAACCTGTCCAGTCATCTAGTCAGCCTTCCTATTCCAACAGAGCAACACATTGACCAGGAAACTCTCTGCCACAAATCATCCCCTTACCTTTGCAGTGAAACTTCTCAGGCATATGGTAGTGGCTTTGAATATGCTTTTTTTTTTTTGGAAGCAGGAAAAGAATATGCCATTGTCCTTGCCAAATTTTCTATATGTTCAACGAATTTAGATTTGGTGAATAAAACCTGAGATGTAATTACAATATTTGGATTTTCCAGCCACTCTCCTTCCAAGGGTTAAAAATAAAATTGTAAGTGGGAGTCAGAGCTTGATGATGTACAACTCAGGACCATCTGCAAGGTAGTGAATGCCACCAACTCCAGCTCCCAAGAAAATCAACATTTCATATTAGGTGGCTTTGTCCGCCTAAATTTCCTCCAAAACAAACTGTTGAGGAGGCCACAAGATCATTTTTAATACCTGGGCCTCAAGATTCAGGAAAGAAAAAAAAAAAAAAGGAAAGAAAGAATCTTTTCCAAATCCTCAAGCAATCAAATGCTCTCATCAAACAAAGGTATTTCAAAACAGGGTGGGTTCTCCTCCAAAATAAAAAAAAGTAAAATAAAGAGGACAACTGAACCCAACTTTTAATTCTGACAAAGAGGTCTTCTGGGAGGGAAATACAGAGAGGAAGGGATGTGCTGACAAAGACAAAACCTGAGTTTTTAATTAATGGTCTTCAGTGGGCTGGTCAAACACCATGGGACCTCAGTACTGGTCAAGGATCTGAGGCTGTCTCATCACACAGGTACAGCTGGTGGAAACAACACTGCATCCTTATCACAAGGACCTTGAAACAGCTCAGAAAGTTAGCTATAGTCTCATTCCAATTCCAAGATATCCATAAGCCCTTGACTCACAGTGATATTGCAAAGAGTGGCGAGTTAGTCCCTCATGTACAGTGAATGTTTTTATGGCAGCATTATGAAAACTACCTTGAAAAAGGCAAGCTCTAACTAGTTCCATTGACTTAGATCACCAACACACAAAGCCAACTGTACTACAAAACAATAAGGATGTCTATTCATCTCTTGAGCATATTTTCACCAATCAAACTTCCATTTTCTTAATATTAAAGTTTTGGTATGACATCACAAGAGAAACTTTTTGTATCCACTGAAGCCAGATGAGACTCACAATCTGTTATGGCCATATTCTTCCTGAGAGACTGTCTCACAAACAATCAGAGAACATCTGCTAGAAAGCATTTTAAAATGAAATCTGACCTACAATTCAACTCTGTGGCAGTGGTTTGACTGTTTAAACAAATGCATGCCCTTTAAATCTTAAATTATGAGATAGTTTGTTGAAAGTGTAATGTATTTAGCTTTTATCTAATAACCTCCAGAAATGTAATCAATCCCTCCTTAAAACAGTTCTGAAAGAAATGGCAAAAATGAAAAAAGGCTCCATTTTCATTAGTCATAAATAAAATGACAACATCAGCCTCTAGGGGTTCCGGAGATGTTCCATTGAGAAATTTTCCAGGACTCAATGTATGTGCTTTGGGAAGGTTAGTTTAGAAACATCTCTGGTGTAAATATCATCCATAGACACAAATCCATCCTACAGAAATAAATTCCAGGTTAAGCTGTTTTTGTGCCTGTTACTATTTTGCTGGTTTCTACAGAAAGTTACATGAAAAAATCTAACTGCCTGTTAAATTCATATTCTTGAGATTGCCAGGTGTTGAATGTGTTTTCTGCAGCATTCGGATACAAACCTGAGTTTAAAATCAATACATTGAAGCCTTAAAGCAGGATGTGGTGTCTGTAATAGGACTGACTTAATATTACTACTATTATATTCAGAGCATCACTGGCCCCCTATGCAGTAGTTTCATTTTATTCATAGCATTTCAAAACCAATTACTTTTGCTTCATATTAAGAAATGCCAACTTCTTTAAATAATCCATAAGGTACACTGACTGTGATGCTGCCTGCCCACGTGCTTGGAGAGTACTTATATTTTTCTTAACTTGGGGAACTAAAGAGGGAAATAGGTTTATTTTTGAAGTGCCATAGTCATTAAGCCCTTAATGCATGCTCTGAGTCACACTGAAGGCAACAACATATTTCTACTGACTTAAATATTAAAGCCCAATCCACTGTCAAGTGGAGCCTCTGGTCTCTGACTGTTTATAGACTTCCTAAAATTACTCATTAGCAATCCATTGTTATGATCTCCTCCATTTTGTATATATTATTCACTAGCATGCAAATTGAAATTCAAACATCTGGATGTAATCTGGGCAGCCTCTGAAAAGCATATCTCTGAGTGATTTTCCTTACGTTTGAGCCTTGCTGCTTAATTAGTCAACTTTTTAAGTCCATGAAATCATCATGTGCAAACCAGAATGTCTCTCAGCTCGTAGCTTGTGGCATGAAAGATCACTGCAAATAAGAACAGTTCCTTAATGAGCTATAATTAGAAAATGGCTAAATGTTAATATGCAAACAGCTTTGTAGAGACAGAAGGGAAGACGAAAGAAAGCCTCTTACTTGTCATCTTTACTCTCATGAATAATACTTATGGCTCTTTGAAGTCGGTACTACTACCCGTGTATTTAATAATTACTCCTGAATGGGAATAAGATTGTCGTGGAAAGGTAGGTTATGCCAGCAACTTTCCTAGTTTAGATGGGGCAGAAAGGAGTTTTCGGCAGAGTGGGATGTAGTTATAACTGTAAAAATTAGCAACTGTACTCACCAACTGATTCTGGTAGGCGGTAACAGCAGTAAAAACTGTCTCTGGAAAGATAAATGTCCTGAACTCTTCTGACTTCAGATTTAGCAAAGAAGCTGTGTGATCCTTTTTCTTAATGATGTGTACCCTTGGCTGGTACTTGTGCATGGAGTTCAAAATGATCTGAAAGAAAGAGTGACACAGCACTGTCCTGAGAGGAAGGTTGACAGGACCCTCGACAGCTATAAAACCATAGGGGAAAAGAACCCATCTAATTAGCACTGCAGAGGAGGCATCTGAAATCTAACTAGCCAGGGGCTGGTTTTCAGAACAAAATTCTCCAGCTCCTTTGGGTAGTTCCAGGAAATGAAGGTGGAAAAGCAGGCATCCCAGGAGCTAGTCTCCTCTCACTCCTACGCCACTGGTGAGCATGCATTTTTTGAAGCATACATATCTGTTCCTACAGATGAGGTGTTTTTTACATACAGAATTAGTCACTCCCAGAGCGTGCCCCAGTTTGCAGGTGTAAATATGTAACTCCTGAAAGCTAATGACCAAGAGTCCCCACTTGCGAAAAGGCGCAGGTGCAGAATGAAAACAGTCACAAATCCCTCTGAAAAAAACTACAGAAAAAATAAGACCCATCCAAAAACCCACCACCAGTGGCAGCCCAAACTGGCTGACTAAAAATAAAACACGGATCCTTTCACTGTGGCAAACCTTTAAAACAAATTACTTCATAGATGCTCTTTACCGCAGACTACCAAAAATGAGAGCAAGGAGGGAAACTAGTACAGAACCCCAAAATGACCAGGTTTTGCTATTCTGTCCTCATTAATAATTGTTTACGAGCTCCCAAAACAATTCTAAACCTAAGGTACTAACTAACCAATTTCAGCATTCACTGGAGTCAAACTGAGAGTCCCACTTGCTTCAGTTACCACTGGCTGGAGGCCTGTTTGGCTGCCTCTAACCACAGTATTACAATATAAGAATTAAATACAGAGCTCGTCTCACACCAGCCCTTGTTTTGGATATAATCACAGTCACAAGACGAAATTGGCATTGGTGTGGGTGGTTCTATTTTTCAGGGGCCATAACGACATTACAGTCAGCTCCGTACATCTGGAACAGCTAATGCGCATTCCTCAGGAAGCGCTAACTTCAACTGAAACATAGCATAAGTGGTGCACCATTTCATGCTAACTCAGTCAATGAGAAAGGTTGCATATTGCACTGGAGTGGAGAGCTTAGAGACAGCTCTACCGTGGCTACAATTTCCACCAGCGTTTTCTTTGCTGCTTCTTTGGGGCCAAATATTACCAAGAATCATACTGGGACTTTGGGAGAAGGCACACAGCATCAAGAAAGTCCTTACAGTGACAGGGAACCATTTCCCTTAAAATGTTGCACGTCTGCTTTTACCAGCTCAGTCCTTTCTCAAAACACTTCACCATTTTATACAGGCACACACACAATTTTCCACCTCTACGTAAAATTTTGTCTTACCATCTAAATCACTTGGAGTGCTCTAAGCAGATGGAAAAGACGTTTTAAATGAGGGTGTATGGATGGTCATGAGCTTACTGAAGGGTTAGCCCACAGTTGGTGCTTTCCGTTGCCTTTAATGGCCATGATATCAACACCAAGGCATTACGTCTGAGCAGCAGCCGAGTGGAATGAGGAAAAAGCTGTGACAGAGCAGCTCCCCCATATGCCCTTGCCTTTACTCCTCTGTGAATGCAAATTGTGATAAAGAAACTACAATTCTAAAACAAGACCGCATAATGCTTTATGAAACTTTTCCAAAAATTAAAGTGCACAAACATAACATCCCCTGCCACGATGCTTGCTCTGCCTTGCTCGCTCCCATCAGAGGCATGGTCTGGTCATTCAGGTACAAAACAAGTACCAAATGTAGCCAGGAGGTCACACAAGAGCCACGGGCAAGGTTAAGGTCAGTATTTCCCTTATGTGAGGGTCTGTACATGTAGCGCTCCACCTACCCCCCCCCCAAAAGCAGCTAGTGTTGCAACACACACTGATAATAAAGTGAGCAGGATAATGCACAAAGATAGGCCTTAATATCTATGCAACTTCTTACGTTAGGACCATCAAAACAGCCCAAACTACTTAGATACTCAGGGTGTACCTCACAGAGTAGCCTCCAAGAGTGGTCTCAGAGTCCAAGCAGAGCCCTGCCCACATGGTGTAGCTATTAGAAAATGCCTGATGCCTGCTCTGTCATACTTACACTGGCACTCCCCAAAAGAAACATCAGGTGCACGTATACTCACAGCAGCCCCCCAGCCACAGGCCCGCAGCCACCCCATCTACCTTTGTGCTGACAGCCTGCAGCTGGGCAGATGACCAGGATCCCTCCTTACAGGATCCTGATTGCTGTAAGGTCAGGCAGGTTTGTAGGCATCTGGCTCCCACTGGCTACAAACCAGTCACCAGAGGCAATCTGGATGCCAGCTGCAAACTTCCAAGGTGGTTGGGAATCCAGGAACTGTGCTGTGAATGCTGCTTCCATATTTACCAAAGAACAGCATTATCAGGCGAAGTTTTCTTTCTAAAAACATGGAAGTTCTGCGTGGCTGACTCTCAAAAATCCTGGGCATAACTCCTTGTGGCTATTCCATAACCCCTGCTTTCACAATTACTCGTTGGCTATGTTCACACCTTTCTGTTTGCTTTCACAAACATTTATGTGTTTAAGTTTTGTTATTGTAAATGCCAGAAAAGCAATTACAATAATGTATACACTCATGGTTCACCTCACCAGAAACCAGAAACTATGCCACCCCAACAAAGTGCAACCAGAAGTCCTAAAGAAAGCGCTCTGTGTGAAAAACATCACCAGAAATCTGAAGAAAAAAGTCACATTCATAAATGTTTCACAGCCAGAAAATGGCAATTACTCACTCGGCTGTAAAAATCCAGAGATAGAAGCCGTTTCCTTCCTCTGGCAAGGATATCTGAAAGTGTTTCCACAGAGCAAGCTGTATGTCATGCACACAGAGATAAGACTTCTGCCTGATGCTTGGGGAGAATATGTGCATAGCTGTGGGGTTACACATGCTGCTGAAGGTACACATGCAGAAATGCTTGCCAACTCCAGAAGTCTCGGAATAGGAGAAAACAAGCAAATGCTAGAGCAAACAAAGGCCTCTCTTCTCTCCAGAATCCTTTTCAGGAAATGACCATCCTACAAATAAAACACCACAATTACCTGAACTCCCAAAACTGTCTTCTAGAGGCTGAGGACAACAAGCAACTAGAACAAGATGGAATCAGGTTGGATCCAGCTTCTCTACCCATAATTTGTATCCAAAGGCATCTTTTAGGTCATTCAGACTTCCTCAGGAACCAATACACCTTATCAAGCATGATTAAAAAGTTCTCACCAGTAAAGACTGGCTCTTTCAAACTGAAAGGAGAGATGGTGCTTCAGTTCTCCTCTTCCCTTAGTACACAGGAGTTCAGAAATGCCATGGGCTGTAGCACAATGAGCCCTCCCTAAAGGCTCCAGAGAATTAATTTCTTCCTCTATTCTACTGATCATCCAACGATGGTATTTACATAGCTTCAATAAGGCTGCATATAAAACCTGATATCCTAATTTGGAACATAAAAACCCACAAAATATTAAAAAGGGAGTGCTCCGTGAAGGTGTAACACCTGTCAAGCAAATCTCAACACAGGATCAAGCCTTCAGGGCTTATTCTTAACTGAACAAGCAAACCTTTCCATTCACGTTGGCTGTCCAAAGCCTTTGTGTAGAGAATGGGGTCAACCTTTACTGCTTCTTTGGAAATTAATGGGAAGGCTGTATCTCAAACACTATGGATCATTTTCACCCATTGCCTGTATTTGAGACGATTACGTCTTCTTGCTCTGTCATGTCTCTGTTCCCGACAGCTTCTCCAACCTAGTTCTTCTTTATACCCATCTGGGCTTCTGGGAACTGCACTGCTCCTAACTAGCTTGCAATATACTGCTGCAAGCCCTTTATTAGAGGCACACATGGCCCCTGTTATGATGAAAAATGCTTCTTTTTAAGTGCGCACGTATACTGCTCTATCATCACTCAGTGATAGAGCCCACAAATCTTCAGCTTTGCCCTTCTACAGATTATGAAATAAAAGAGAGGAAAAAAAATACATTCTCCACCAGTCATGAAAGGAACAACGGTGGGAACTGGATTCAAGAACAATGTACCCACAGATGGATCTTTACAAAAGAACAGCACAAGGCTTTCTGGGCTTTCTTTTGTTTGTTTTTTTAATACTTTTGTTCTTGTTATTTCCGGGATGTATTTTAAATGATCGTGGCTGTGATTCAATTCTCGGTTCTTGAAATGAGTAAAAATTCTCTTTTGGATGAGAAACATTTGCACAGAACACAGGTCAGACAAATGGCCACTGTTTCACACAGTACAGGCAATAAATGTCACACTAGGGAAGGGGTTTCTGATACACTGTATACCGTAATTATTCAGCTGTACAAATTAGTAACCACTACAAACGCTTTAGAATTCAAAATCGCTCCTCCCTTCCCAATACCTCATTTACTAACACTGCCTTTAATCTCTCTCTTCTAAACTGCCCTGTTCTCAGCCAACAGCTCTTTCAAATCCATCCCCCTGCTCCTTCTGCCTTCCCTGAGAGAACAACCAAGCCCAGAGGCAACACTTTTAGTTCTTTGCAATTTGGAAGGCCCTACCGAGTCATTCCTGCTCTTTAAAGTCACTTTTGGGGAGAGGACAGGACAGACAATACCTTTTCTTGCCACCTACCAGTAGACAGTCAGGTAACTAAAGGAGTTGTTCCCTGTAATGGGGGATAGCAGGAACCCACAGCCAGCAGCTCTGCATCATATTTACCAGCTTCCAGCCTCAGGGCTTGTGAAAACAAACTGGCACCAATCAGATCTGGGACCTGACTCCTCCAGAAGCCCAAGTAGAGACTTTGGCACTTTGACTTGCAGTTAACCTACAGTTATCTCAAGGACAACTGAGGCACACTTATAATTCTTTAAACCTTGTTTTGATGTCACATCAGTATTTTCTTCTGACTCTATGCCCAGGCTGCAATGAGTCTGAAAGTAAAGGAGCTCTTGTTGATGGACCCAACCCTAACAGGTTGCCTGAAGGGTGAGAGGGAGCTTCAAATCAGACATGTAAAAGTACATGGGCTTCCTGGCCATTGCATGTGGCAGAGCATACTGTCAAGTCACAAAATGCAAGCAGAACCACGACAAATGGCTCATCTGCCTTCCTTCTATCCCTCACTTTGATGCTTATATCCACCCTGAACTTGTCTCTGATGGATGTTCTGGCTCTGATGTCAGCAGGAGCATGATTCGAGCTGTTGACCCAGGCTCTAACTTACAATATATTTTTTAAAAACCATGATTTTTGAAGCTGCCTATTTCTCAACAACAGAAGAACCCAAAGGGGCCCTTAAATGTGTTAAAAAAACCACATTCAAGCTTCACACAACATCTTCCTCCACTGTAGTACTAAAGGGCTGGCCAAGATAGGCATAATGTGGGAACCATAACAACCTTTCCCCATTGCACTCTCTCTCCTGCAAGCTTAGCCCTGTGGCACATGAGCAATTCCCCTCTGGACATTCCTTGACCCATTCACACCAGGAGGGCTACTCACGTGGCCGTGCTGATCCAGCTCATTGTTGGTGAGTTTGACTTTTTCAAAGGACACCATCTGCTTCAGCAGTTGCTCTCCTGTGAATGGGGAGTCAGGGTGCACATACAACCTAAAAAACACATGGAGAAGGTCTGCTCATAAAAAATCCCACCTCTTGGTTTGTGCTTGGGCACCACCTCCATATGAAATTAAAAAGCACATATCATCTTGCTTTTGGGATATGCAGTAATTTCACGGACACAGATTTCCTGACATCTTGGGGTAATACAGATTGCTGCTAGAACAAGCCACCATCTCCCCCAAACTAATTAATACCTGAAAAACAGCTAATAATGAAAAGAAAGTAAAGCAGATGACTTATTTAATTCACTGGAACCTAATGAAGAATCCTGTGTCTGAGTGCTAGACTGCTCCCTAACCATACTTATTATTTTATCCAGTTATCTAAAATGGAGACATTAACTAACATTCACTGTTGTGTCTTTTCCCAAAAGAAAAATTGATTATGCCTTTCCCCACAGCTGTACTAACAAGCACTTAAAATAACAATGACTACAGCTCCAAGAGAAAAAACATGGTGTCATTACAGAGATAATGGGGGAATGTAGATAAAAATGCATTTTTCTTTATTTGTAACATTAAGCTGTGATAATGATTTTAACCTGCACTCGATCACATGTTCGCTGTGGTGACATCTGTTTATAAGAAGCTGAAGGCTGCAGTCCAGCACAGTGGTCTGACATGAAAAATTAATTGCAGTTCTGTAATTAACAATCCACCACTTGGGAAATTAAGCAGAAGAAAAGGAAACAAGGAGACATGCAGATACAATGATATATACATTATGACTAGACTAATTACAAGTGCCAAGCTATTTAAAAACAACGATTTTATAGGAATAATATATTGCTGAAAATTATTAACTCAAACGTTCTTTTGTGATAGTGAATTAAGAGCTGGACTAGACCTTCAGCAAGTACAAACCAGCCCTGTTCTGCATTGGTTATCACTCACCGAGGCCTGACTCTCGTTTTGGGTGATATCTTTGGCCACACGAATGGATTTCTTCCATTAGGTGGGCGGGACACACTGAGATGTGAGGTTAGAAAGATAAACATTTGTTCTCGTTGTTGGGCTACAATTTTAGAATGGAAAAAACCATTAAATGATTGGGTGTAACTCCCCGATAGACTGCATGGATCCCTAATCAAGGAGTGGCCATACTACAGACGCTAGGGAGCACAGCTCCCTTGCTCAAAGAGGAAGGACATTTGATCCTGCACTCTCCATTTTTGCTGGCAGAAGCCCCAAGTCACACTGAAACCAAAGTTTTGCAGGCACAGCTCACTTCAGATGTGCAGGATGTTTTCCTTACACTGATCTGAAGCACAGCTTGGCTGCTCTAGCTGTGTTCATGAATGGGATGCTAGGCCTGTTGCAATAAAATATTCCTAGCATGTAGGTGCCCTCACTGTTATTGACTCTGTTGATTGCATTGCAAAGCTCATAAAAAATGAGGATGTATCAGAAAATCCAAGACCTGGAACCGTGTTATGTCAAATGAATTTTAGCTTTCATGAAAATTAACTTTGCCTTCCTCTAAAAAAGCTGTGAAAATTTTCAATCTTTAGAGTCCTGAATTAGAAAAGGCAAAACAAAGAGTCACAAAAATGTCCTTCAATGTTTCAGCCAGCCTTGTGACATTTTTTTTTTGGAGCCTGACTCCTAATTTTGAATGTCTGGATAACTAATAATGTTTATTGTGATCACAGAATGTCAGGCTCAGCAAGATTTGGCTAATTGGGACCAAAAAGGCAAAGTATTTCAAATATGTGCTGGGGAATGAGTAAAGACTTTCATGTGTCGAAAAGCTGAGCACAATTGTTTTACACCATCAATGGTTAATGCTTGGCACTGCTTTAAAACTATCAAGTGCCTGTATGCTAGCAGAGTGCTAACAGGGAAGTCACTGAAGGATGGCACCAGAATATCAGTTACAGAAGTGTAATAATAGACCTTATTTTTCTTTACCCATTTGCCACACACCATCAATTCCACTGCAACACAGGACTCCACTTGGTAAGCTACACCTATTTCACACACTTCTCCTACAGCCCAGGCTTGTATACCTCAGAGAAGAGGGTTGCTTTCTGAAGCTGAAGTTGTTGGCAAGACCCTGAGAAAACAGGTTAAAGAGATAAATATGTACATTCCAGTGCAGCACACAAGGCTCCCCCAGAAGCTTGTGTGGGCTCAGCTGCGAAAGGCTAGTCAGATGTGAGGGGCTGCTTGCTTTGACTCACAAAGGATTTAGGAGCCATATTTGGGTATGAATTTGCTCCACAGTATATGATGTTTCACGATATGTGCAAAGTTTAGGTACTGCTTCTTCCTTGTATATTTTGGGATGTGATACCACACTCCCTCTATTTAGTTTACCAGTTGATCTGGTCCCACAAGTTCCATGCATGCTAATTTATTTACCCTAGAGTCTCAAATAATTTGAAAAATATAATACCTTTTAAAGGTTTCCTTCATAGAGTTCTCTGTGTGTGAACACTATAACTTCATTAAACAAATTACTGTAGACAAATTCAGTTTTTAAAAAAGTGACAAACTTTTGAGTAAAGAAATAAGGTGAAAAAGGAAGATCAAACAAAAGTACGTGCTGAAACTTACTAAACTGATGTTTCACACAGTAATGTGGAAGACAAACATAAAATATCACATAGTAACTCCATCCCCAGATAGCACTTTAGAAGATTTACAAATGTGTCTCTGAAAAGTATTCTTATTTAAGTTTTCATTGCAACATAAGTTTGTCTTCAACATTGACAGCAGGAAGACAAGGATAAAACTGGTTTTAATAGAAAGTTCCCTGAAGGGCTAATCTTTCAAACAGAATCACAGAATACTTACTAATTTGAAAAAAAAAAAAAAAAAAAAAGAAATCAAAAAAAAACCACAACCCCCCAAAAAACAACACAGAACTTAGTGTTGAAAGTTATTTTGATAATGGAAAGAGCAAACTATCTAATGGGTTCAATCCTGCAAATTCTTACACCCGTGCACAATGCAACTCCTGAATAATTCCCCTGTTGTCATCATGCCTGTGCAGATGCAGGCAGTGATGTGTGTGGGGAGTAAGAACCTTGTTACCAGTGCCCAGACACTAAGCACACATACACCCCTCGCTGACACTCCTCAAGCACAGAGAGCTGAAACCGCCTGCTTGGAGGACAAGAAATCATAACTTCATTAAGGGTTCCGGTTACTGGAGCAGGACCAAACTCGTTTCAAGATGGGAGGAGTACCACTTTTAATCTGTTCAAGCAAGACTGAGGACTCCCACCTCAAAAGGTGCATTAACACTCTAGAAGAAGCACTGGTAATGCAAACATTGGCATATTGAACCTCTTGATGTCCTTTTTCTCACCAAAGAGAAACAAAGGAAGGACAAAGTACATAAATGTATATTTAAGTACTGTTCATACAAAGAAAAAGCAATCTAAGCCTATGCTATGATCAATAGTCTTTTTGGATAAGTATCCTGAAAATGAAAGAGGAAAGGTGTACATTTACACGTAGAGGCAAAGCAACCTGAAAATGAAACAGCACAGATACACATTTGCACACAGGGGTACTAATCCACTGAGGACCCTGAAGAGCTACCACAGTACAATGATAATAACTATTTAACCTCAAGAAAGTTTGAGCCCAACTTTAAAACACTCAATAGGGCAGTTGCTAATTATTACAAGGATCAGTCTCTTGTCTTATGTTCTTGTATTTCTTTGTTGAACTAGATTGTGCCGGAGAGAGAGTGCGAATTAGAATCTATTTAAAGGTATCCCAAAAGGGGCGTGAACAGAAAAATAAAAAGGGGAGAACCCTGCCTTAAAACTATTTCTGTCCTTCTGTTATTTCTTCTTTTGATGCCGACTCCTTTGGAGAAGGACCCGTGTTTTTTCTTTGGGTTTTGATCAGTGCCCATTACAATACGTCAAATGAAGCCCTCAGACGTTAACCACATTGCAAAAAGGAGTTTTTGGCCATGAAAACAAAGCCGACATAACTCCTAGGTTGCTGTCTTTAATCACAGCTTCTCTGCTTGTGCTTTTTGTTTGTTTACTTCCCTGAGCAGGCTTCCAGAGATCGCCAGTCACCAAGATTTCAGTCCAACTATTTATACAAGGAAATCATGCAGTATTTGGTGCCTATACTCACACACCAAAAAAATTTGTTTCCATTTCTTGTGTTTCACTTCTAATTTCTGCCTCTGTAATAACTGAGTTCTTAACCCCAGGCTATGCCACCTGGAGCAGATCTGTGTCCCTGTGCAGAGCCCTCCACGAAAAGTTTCTTTGAAGCCAGAGAGGCATCCCCATTATTTCCATATCTCCGTCTCTGACTCAGCAAAGCCGTTCGACATGTGCTGCAGCCTTACTGGACTTGGGGACTTAAGTACGTACTGAAGTGCTGGGCTGAATACGATGAAGTGTGGGTCTCTGCTGAAGTACCCTCCCACCTAGTGCTGCAACCTCAGTTGCCCAGCGACAAAAAGAATCAGCCATTAATTACATTAATTGAATTATTTTAGAAATTAAAACTTCTACAGCGTTTGTTTCTGTAAAGAAAAAGGAATTTGATTTTTTTTCCTGATATCTCAGAATGTCATGATTTCTTAAGGAAAAAAAAAGTATCTGTGCTGTAGAACCGATCTGTACTTTGCCTGCTGTCTATGGATGACTAAAAGCAAGAATAAAATTCTTGGTTAGCAAATGCTGGATATGCTAGAGAAATAATATAATTTCAAGCATAAACAGCACTGAACTGTAATGCAGGCTTTTCACTTTGGCTTGGCTAGTGGCGCCTGGATTGCTTTAAAATATGAGGTCAAATACTGGGAGGGAGGTGAGCCAAGAGACAAATCAAAACTTTTTTTTTCAAGCTTTCTTATCTCAGTCAAGATACACTTCATTAAAAAAAAAATCAAAAAACAAACAACATTTGTATAAAAGAGCCCTTAAACAAATTCTGCATGCCTTGAAACACTCAGTATAAATCAAGCCTCAAGTAGAGATTTGAGGCCAGATTCTGCATCACAGAAAATTATTCAGTTTTGCAACCAACTGTTGAGCATGGACAGACCAGACAGAGCACTATTTGCAAACAGAATGGAAAGATCAATAGGAAGTATTTCTTGAAGGAAGAAAAAAAGAAAAGTAAAGAAAAATAAAAGACCAACAGTAAAATCTACAAACCTTGCAGGGAGAGGAGGGTCAGCTTTTCCAGCCACTAACCAGGAAGACCTGTGGTAGGCATATCTATATCTTTTATTGTCCACAGGAACTATATCCATTAACACAATATACTTGGCCTCAGGGTCCACTCCCGAGAAGGAAACTCTGATCGTAGGAAACATTCTCCTGAAATAAAGGCAAATCAGAAAATAAATATGTAGGTAGAGAACAGAAATAAGAGAGCTTATGAAAAGCTGCTAAAAGTAAGAATTATATTTAAACCACCTGTAAAACTAAAAACATCTGTTGATTCTGCTTAAGCATGATGGAAGTTAAAAGTCTTGTGTCTCTCTAATAGGCAGAGAAAAAGCAGCTTGAAATCAAAATGATATCTGGGAAGTAAAGAGGAAAAAAAATTGTAAAAAATGAAAAACTAAAAGAGAAATATACTGTTTGCCTGTTAGTTAAAAGTACACAACGATTTCAGAAAATAGTTGGACCTAAGGTACATAAATCTTTAGAAATTTTTTTCTTATTTTTGTGGGATCCATACTACTGCTAGGGAAATATTGCAGAAATTATTTCCGTTATTATTCTCGCGTATTTTGGGTGAGTGTTCTTCTAATCCCGCTCACCATATTTTTGAGCGGAATCTTCAAAACTAAACTTTCTTTTCGGTACTTAAGTTTTGACAAAATACAATTGAAAAGTGTAAGGTTAAGTTGTAGAAACAAAAGTCAAATATCTTTGAACAGTTTGAAATTTTGAACTTCAAATTGCAGATTTTTTACCCATTTTTTTTATAATACTGTTTAAAAAAAAAGAGAAAAAAAACCACATATGCCGATAGATCTCATCATCTAGGAAAAAAAAAATGCCTTCAAGGAACTACATTAATAAAAAGTAACTTTGGCTATTACAAGACCCGAAAAAACATCTGGCTTCTCCAGACTGCGTTTGACTGACTCAAATCCAAAGGCTTTATTGACGAAACGGCATAGTTTGAGATGACGAGAAAGCATGGGATTCTTTTGTGCGTTTTTGCAACCGAGTGAAAAGAACAAACCAAGCCAAGCTCTGACCGAAATACTTTCCCAAGTCCCTGCGTTTCCCTGGATCTGTAACAACCCAGCCCCGCAAAAATCACTGGAGTATTTTAGTTACGGACCGAATTATAAGGGAAACAACATTTCTACCCATCGACCGACACACCTCAGATGGATTCCATCCGGCCCCGCTGCCGCCCCGGGCCGCCTCTCCCTCTGCCCCAGCGGGGCTCCGTGCACCGCACTGCGCAGCGCCCGCCGAGGCAAATAAGGGGCTTCATCCTCCTCCTCCTCTCCCCTTAGCCCAGCCTTGCTGCTCTCCCGATACAAAACCCGCAGGGTTGCTTTGCCTTATTTCCCCCTGGCCAAAGGCGCTTTTTGAAAGCTGCCCGGAGGAAAAACCCGGGGCTGCCCAGCCTTACCTCCCGGATTTGGTGATGATCATCTCGGTACCCAGTTCGTGAAACTTGTCCCAGAGCTCTTTGGTCTCCAGGCTGCAGGAGATTTTGGCCATCTCCTCGCTGGGGATGATGGGGGTGGTGGGGATGAGGGGCTCGGTGCACAGTGACGAAGGGCTGCTGCTAAAATCCCCGTGAGGGTCCAGGCTGGATAAATCGCTCAAAGACTGGGCGCAAGAGGATTTCTCAACGAATTGTTCTGCAGGATTTGGGGAGGGAAAAAAAAAAAAAAGAAAAAGAAAAAAGAGAGAGAGTCTAGGGGGGATTCAGCCAGGACGGGGCGACCACCAAGACAAGCTATTTTTTAATATATATGTATATGTGTGTGTATACGTATGTATATATAAAAGGCATTTGTCGTTCATCTGCTCCCGGTCTGCCCAGTACACCCGCAGACCCGCGCTTGTCCTTCAGGCGTCAGCTCATCATTTGAGGGCAGCGGTGGTGATTTTCGGAGATGAGCTCCGGGGAGAGTCCGGAGCGGCGCCACTCTCCAGAGGCTCACCGGGAGAGATGCCGTGGGGCGGCGAGGGGCAGCGCGGTCCCGGCCGCGTCGCCGCCCGGCTGTGACCCACTCCGCGGGGCGCGGAGGGGGCAGAGCAGGCCCTGCGCTCTGCCCCCCTGCTAACCCAGGGGTTCCATGGAAAGGTCACTAATTCTCATTAAAACGGGAGCGCTGGGCGCCGAGGGGCTGTTGAGGACCGGGGTCACGCTGTGGGAGCGCTGAGGCTGCTCCTGGATTGCGCCGCTGGCAGAGTGCGCAACGCAGAAGGAGCCGGAGCGCGGCCGCGGAGGGAAGCGGGTGGAAGCGAACCCCTAATACTAATTCAACGGCGAGCGCGGGCTCACCCTCCCGGAAAGCCAGGTCTGCCTTGCCTCACAGCCGGTTTGCTGACGCTGAACACGCTCCTTTTGGAGAAACAAGCTCCTGGGGAGCTGCGTATGCCGCGCAACCTACGCGGGTGCAGGTCGCTGCTGCTGGTGCTGCCCGCCCGCCGCGGCTGGTCCCGCCGGCGCTGCCGCCCACCCCCGCAAGTCCCGGGAAGCTTCTGGGGGCTTCAGCAGCTCCGCCGGGAGTTTCCGCTGTAGGCGAGGCCGGGAGGGAGCAGGGCTGCGCCGGCTCTGCCTCGGCCCCACGCTGCGGCACCGGGATGCGGCGACGGATTCGCCGCCCGGCGCCAAGGAACGGGTGGTGCACGAACGCGCCCTACCCCTCCAGGGAAAGGTTTTGCCCGAGTCTCCACTTAATGATAAGTCGAGTTACAGGCAGCCGTTTCCCTTCGACTATAAGCTGAATGGCGTGTGGGAAGGAGTTAAAAATTTTTGAGAAGTTAAATTAAACAGGCGTTTTCGGGAAAAAGGAACAAACAAACAAGCAAACAAAACTCCACTAGCACTAACACTACGTTTAACGCAAGCCCTCGTAAATATGCCGAATGGGAATACTGCAACATTCCCGGCCTACATTAGCGCCTAGACTAAAAAATGAAGTTCACAATGAATCTCTGGACAATGTGAAATCTTTTGAGACAGTTGATTAGATGGAGCAGACGCTGAGGGAGCTGCCTTTTCTAAATTCTTTTAAGGTTGAATGTAATCCTGTTCATTGGCGCCCTGAGAGCTTAACACATTTTTTGTAGTTTTCTGTGAACTCCTGGATACATGCAAGGACTACAAACCTCGGAAACTCGGGGGTGGGGGGAGAGGGTGGGAGATGAGGGGGAGACGTTAATATTTTTTAAAAACTTTCAGGATTCTGAATCGAGGCAACCGAATAGAAGCGAAATCGCTTACCCGAAAATCGCAAGCAATTCTACAAAAATCCTTCCGGTCTACGGAGAGTAAAACAGCCTATATGAGCCTACATCGAGGAGCTGTGGAGCCAAGAGATTTCCAGGTCTACGCACAAGTTTTACTACCTCTTGTAAGCTTAGGCACGATAACGGAGAGTCTTCTCATTTGACTTCAAAAACAGAGAGGATTTGCAATAAATATTTAAGAGATTCATTTCATATCAGCAACGAGAAATGGAACTACCTTAGGGTGTGAGATTATTCTGCGAATGGCGAAGCTGGATAAATAAGTGGAGTAGCTGAAGCTGGAGGAATTTAGGAAACTGTTTATGCCATAAACAGCCTCACCTGTAAACGACGGTGGGTGATGAAGATACTCAACTGACTTAGGTGGTGTGGCTTTCCCCTCTGCAGGGGAAGCGTTCGGGCTGGGGGGGACGCGCCGCTGCCCGGCTCCGGCTGCCGGAGCGCGGAGAAGGGTGAGTCAGGGAGGCCAGCGGACTCCGCCAGGGACAAACGGACGGAGTGGAGCTTCGCACCCCACGGACACCCGGCGGTCACCCCCGTCCCCACTCACCCAGAGGCTTGATAGTGCTCTCGGGGGACTCCTTGTCCTTGGAGCTGCCGCTCGACATGAGGGCGGCGATGGAGAAGGCGTTGGCCCGGGAGGACAGCTGCGGCTTGGGGGGCGGCGTGTACTCCATGGCCACTCTGCGGAGAAGCGGCGCGGCTCGGTGCGGCGCTGCCCGGACGGGGCGGGCGTGAATACCGACCGGGAGCTGCTGGAGCCGGGATACCGGGAAGAGCTCTGCTCCCGGCGCCGAGCGCTCCCCCGCCTTAACGCGGGGCCGCAGAGATCCTATCGGCCAGCGGCCAATCGGCGCCGGGACACGTCAAGGGCCCCGGCCCGGCCCGGCCCGGCCGCGGGGGAGGGGGCGGAGGCGGGCAGCGGGAGGAGGAGGGACGGGCAGGATGGGAGGGGAGGGCTCTGCCCGCCCGTGGGGTGGGCAGGGGGCGGCCGGCTCTCGGGACAGTTCCCCGCCGCCGCTCCCCCTTCGGGCAGCCCAGCCCCGCTCCCCTCCGGGGCCCCGGCTGCGGTTCGGGGTGCGCTCTCTGTTCCTCGGAGCCCTGGGGGCGGGAAAGGGAGGGAGCAGGCCGCATGGCCGGGGATGCTCCCGAGAAGGTCCCTAGGCTATTCGCTTTGCTGAGGCAAGAATCAGCGGAGAGGCGGTTGAAAGGATGGAAAAAAAAAAATGTGGATTTTTCTGTGCGTGTGTGTGAGTGTCAATTTTCTATTTTGAATTCAAATATTAAAAGACCACAACTTTCAAAGCAGCCGTTTTCATCGTTGTGTGCCTTCTGCTGGGACAGCATGTTCCTTAAGGCTGATCGTATACTTGGTTTTCCTGCAAAAGATCCCAAATATTGTCATCCCGGTCAGATATACTCTGCCCTGACGCTCCAGGTGAGACCCTTGCTGCGTTCTCTTCCCAGTGAAACCGGTGCGTGGGCCTCTGATCCCACAGTTTTCTTCGAGTCCGTTTCATCGGCTCCACCAAACTAGATGGTATTGATCAAGCACAAAAAAGCCAGAGAATGTCGGGTCATGCTGAATAATCTGCCAACGAGCAGATTATTCCAAGGCAATGATTTAAGTAAATTGCTTACCAGTACTCTTTTACACACATTATGTAAGCATACTCCCATAAATAAATTAAACAAACAAACAAGCAACAAACAAACAAAAAATCAAGGGTATTTAATTAAATCCCTTTAAGTGAAAATATGATCGAAAATGTTTGCTCTCCGAAACGACTCACAAGAGGACATGCCACTTTGTCACTGAAGTTCCACCTTTTAAGCCTGGAACAGAATCCAAGCGCTTTTAGTATGCAGGCTTGTGCCAAGAGCCATGACATACCTGATCAGGTATAGTCTGTGCCGCTCCTATTCCCGCTGCATTTAATTAATCAAGGTGGAGAAATTATTACTCGGGTCACCCTTCAGAGCCACTGAAGTGGGGAAGACGAAATAGTGCTTTATCTCTTTGAGATCAGAGAGAACCAACTGCAGTTTGCCCTTTTATTACCTGAATTTGCTAATAGATAGGATATCTACCAGAAACGGGACGTGAATGTTTAGAAGCTCCTGAACCGTTTGGCAGAGGATTTCAGCGTGGCCCACCGTGGTCTGGGGGCCCGGTCGTGCCTCAGGCATAAGCGGGGGGAGAGGGGAGAAAAGGGAAAGCTCGGCCGGCCCCGCGGCCGGAGAGCCGGCAGGGTCAGATCGCCAAGCATCGCCTCTTGACACAGCGGAACCGAGACTAGCGGTTCTGTAGACATCAATCCGAAGAAAACAAACGAACAAAAAGTCCCCCAAATGCTTTACCGCTTTATCCCGAGGGATACCTCTCCAGCTGCCGGCCCGGTTTCCTTGCGGGACAGCCCCGCTTCTGGCGTGCGAGGGGTGGTGGGACAGGGATCCCGGGTGTTCCGACCCTGAGCTCCCTTGAAAATCAGGGTCCGGCCTGCTACAAAGATCCGGGGAAATTATTGTCTTCACATTTTCTGTGGTGGTGGCGGGGATGCCTTTGGTTTCTTACCTACTTTATGCGCCGCACGAATAAGGATAACTAAAAAAAAATAAATTAAAAAAAAATACCTGTCTCCTTATTTCCATCCCCCATCAGCCAGGTCGCAACATACCTCTCCCTGACAGAGGCTGCCCCCGGCCCATCGGGGCTAAGGGGAGGGGGGCGGCCAGTGGATGTTTCGGTCCGAATGGAAAATACCGGCTCAGACCCCGCAGCTGAGGCAGCCCGGGACCCTTTTCTGCTCTGCTTCGCCGCGGGATTTCCAGCCCTGCGGGGCGGCCGGTCCCTACCTTTAGCCGCGGGAGAAGGACTCGGCCGCGGCGCGGGGAAGCGCTGCGCGGTGAGAGGGGCACGGCGGGCCGGGCGGGGAAGGGAGCGGAACGGCGAGAGAGGGGGAAACCGAGGCCGCGGCACGGCCGTGGAGCTGGGACTCGCTGTCGCCTCCGGGCAGGGGGTTGCCCCCCGGGAGAGAGACTGGACGTGGGGGCTTGAGGGTCCCTGCTCGTACCTCGGAGATCAAAACCTCGGGGACGAAAGAAACCAGGAGCTTCGTTTTATTTTATTTTATTTTATTTTAAGCGGGTCCGTCCACACGGGATGCCTTTTCTTTTGCTTGGGTAAGCCATGCAATTTTTCGCTCTATCCCACGAGAATCTATATTTTTTTTAGTTTTTCCCCGCCCCGCCTCAGATAAGGAAATGAGCCTTGTCTAGACGTCCAGAGCACCCCCTCCTTCCCCGTGGGCAGAGAATGGGGCTCTGGCCGCCTAATCCTCTCTACGGCTCCCTCCCCCACCGAGTCCGAACTGGGGAGATACGGGAATCAGGGTACTCTAGTGGGAAGGGAGTGAGAGTCTGGCTCCCCTGGGCTGCTTTGCCGTCCCTGCCCACGATGCTCTCCGGGAACAGTGGGGGCTTCCAGAGACGAGAGGGATGGCTGGAGAACCCATCACTACTCCAGTGCTCTTGGTCCCTCTCTGCTTTCCCAACCAAGTGGATGCAGTCAATAGCGTCCGTGCGCTCTTCCCCGGGGATGCGAACCGGAGCAGCCTGTCCCTGCCACAGCCGGGCACAGACCGGCTGTCACCGCTATACCGCCCCCTCCCGAGAGCAGAGTTACCAACCCTGCTGCACCCCAACAGGGCGGTTGCCTCGTTTGAACCCGTTTCAATTAAATCCTTCGTTATTGTTATCCGTACATAAAGAACACGCAGTCTACACCACAGTTTGTTTTCAATCTAGCAAATCCATGTGTTTGTCGTTAGTGTCAGCCTGCTGCGGCAGAGCCATTTCATTAGGCTTCATTATCCTTTCGAAGCACCTCTTTTCCCACCTTCATTTGCCTGAAAAACTGCTTACTCTCCTGTGAACCGGCAAAGAAAGCGTGCGGGTAATTTGTGCACACCTCGTCGCGCTCGTTCGGTTCCCAGCTTTAATCAGGATTAGGTCTCAGTTTCGCCCTCAGGTTTCTAACAGGGAGCTTGCAGCCCTCCTCCAAAACGTCCCTCTGATCCCTGAAAAGTCAAAAAGAAAATGCAATCCCTTGAAAACCATGAGCACCACTTCTTCCCGGCCGTTTCCTCACCTATCACGACGGGAATGAGACACGAGAGACAGAAACCCGCAGGAACCCTCTGGGAAACTTAGGGTCCTGCCGAGCCAGAGGGATGGTTTCAGGTGCGCCTTCTGACAAGAGCTCCGACCCTGCGCTTTTCTGCGCGGCCGCGCAGGCCCGGCGGCGGGCGAAGTGTGCGGAGAGGGGCACAGACAGGGTAGGGATCTGCCCTCAGATTTTAAGCAAGTCTTTATCGCAGTGATGGAGGGGCCATGGTCCTTTTTCTTTTTCTTTATTTTATTTTGTTGTTGTTGTTGTATTTTTCTCTCAAAAGCCCCCATGCCGCACACTTCACGCCGCAGAGACAAACCTGTAGGCATCCCCTCTTTGGCACCTGTGGGGCTGTGCCCCTAAACCCGTCCCGGCACTGAGCCGAGCTCACACCCGCTCTTCTCCCGGCTGCCCCTTGGGATAACCTGGCACTTGCATCTCATCCCTTCTCCTCCGTTACTTCCCCGTCTCCCGTCCGGATTCGTCGCCTGTGCAGAAGGGCGAGGGCCACCCTTCCATTTAATTCGGAGCCTACAGTTGCGGGGTGGCCGCTGCCGAGACCCTCACTGCCGCCGTCCCGCCCTGGCCGATGCTGGCCCGGTGCCGACCGGAGTCTGTGTCTGACACTCGCCCGCAGCATCTCTGCAAGGTAACCTACGGCACTGCTTTGCGCTTGAAGGCACTTCTGCCTCGGGAGGGGAGAAGTTAAAATCTTTTGCTTTTTCTTATTTTTACCCCTTGCAGACGAAAACACCTTGTCCTGTGTAAAGAATGGTGTTTATTCGCTCGGGCAGGGTCTCAAGCACTCCCGTTCTTGCCTTGCGAGAGCACCGCTACTTCACAAAGCGATGGCTACAGCGCTCCCCGGCTACAGCTCTGGCTCCTCTGCAACCTCACGCGGTTATCAGCCCTGCTTACAGGAGCTTTTTTCTCCTCTTCTGCACATAATTATATCGCTCTCTCCGTCGCATTCCACCTCCCTTTGCGCTCCCCGATTTCGGAGCAGCCCCCTTGCTGGGGTGGGGGGACATCGCTCTTGCTGCGGTGGGGACATCGCCCCCCTTGCCGCCGCTTCACATTCTCCCCTTCACGAAAAGAGCAGCGCCAGCAAGGCAGAAGCCCAGGTACTCGAGATCCAATTTCAATACAAAAACATCTCAATGTCACCTACAGCGAAAAGGTGGCTTATTGGAGCAAAATGCGAGGCATTTAAGCCCATTAGGCATCTCCCAGATGCAAATCCAATGGTGGAAAGAGAAAGGCTCTATTAAGACCCGAGGGCTGACAATTAGATTATAGTCCAATTGCCAGCGGATAATGTGCTAAAAGCTTTCCCACTTAGTGTAACTCTTCGCTGAAAATTATTCACACTTTGCAGGCTGCCGCGCTCGAGAACGGGAGACGTCTTTGTCCGCGGAGGGCGCGAACAGCCGGGCGTAGCTCAACACAGACACACGGACACACAGACACATGCACATGCAGGAGGTCTCGCAGCCAGGAGGATCA